ATGATGCACACGCCAATAGATCTCAAACTCTACAGTGAAGTCAAAGATATTCTGACCAAGGCATGTATCGAAGCTTCAGATGCCGCCAAAAAGGCTTCTGAAAGGGCGCTGATTGGGTCATTTTCATATTTTGGATTTCCCATGCCTCCCAAAAATCCGTGTGATGAAGTCTATCCTGGGATTTGGCTAGGAGAAGCGTAAGTATACATGATGTGTAATTTTTACTTTTGAATTATTTAATTACAATAATATTTGAATGAAGATCTTCTTCTGTGAATTCCAGGGCTCCATATCTTGGGAGTGTTGAATTAAGAATCAATGTCACAGCAATAAGAACATCCCAGTAAGTGCTTCATCCCCATATTCAGCAGCAAGCAGAGAGTTCCAATCCGATGTTATCAGTAACAGTCTGGTTGTATTTCCGTCTCACCTTTCCCTTGAATGTTGAGCATCAGCAAATTCCCCTGGTCACTCCATTATACTCCCATTAGACATTAATGATTTGTTTGTGCCTCCACACTGTTCATCACTCCCAAAAGGACCCTTACAATATTTAGCTTCTCATGCATCAGTTCACCACCACATGGTGCTGAACCAGCCACTCTTTCTGTCTGTTCATTTCACAACACACTGGCTTGCCCTGGAGAATTTGTTCAAAGGAAGTTAACTATCAGGGACCTCTGAAGGAATGCTTGTCGTGCTGTGCAAAGCATACCATTCACCACCTTCATCAGTATGCTGTACGAATCAGTTATAATTATGACAATTTCTTAGTTACCCCTGACAAGTCTGCCATAAATTTAGTGTTCAGTTAAAAGACCTATATGTTAGCCTAACTGTAAACCATAAGACAGTGTGCCAGCCACCCTTTTAAGGGGCAAATGCAGAACAAGAATTCAGACCACAGAAACAGTCTCTTCCATCATTTATTGTATGGCATATTTTGCTGTATCTCATTAGGTATAAACAAGAAACTGCATGAACAAACTAACTGAAGGAAATAAAAATAGGAATCTTTTAAGCTGAAATACAAACACATTTCAGAAGAAAAGCCTAAGAAATTGAGGAACGCTAGGTGGGATGATGATTTAATTAAAGACGAAGAAATAATAGAAATGTCTGGACAGTCACTTATGTCAACATTTATATGACAGGAGAAATGAGCAATCATCCCCGTGTGGGTTCCGGGGCCCCCATCGTGGGGAAAACAAGAATAGACCCTCTGCCTACCAAAAAGCATGTCGTAATAGTCAACTAATTGGGGAGCTTCCTTTGAAGTCGGATTGCATCTGCCTGAGAGGCAAGGAACCAACAGTCTGCATTCAAGTGAATCAGATCTGTAAAACTGATGTACACGCAACACTCAGGTTCTGGAGCAGGACTGCAGTTCAGAAGTGGACGAACAACGAGAACTTTCCACCAGAGTGTACAGCTGGTGAACGCGAAGAAGAAGAAGAAGAAATGAGCAATCACCAGACAAGCACTGAAATGAGAAACAAATGGGTTGAGGCAATAAGAAAGTTCAAGAGAAACCCTCAGATAAAAGATAGGAGTAAAAAAAAAATGTGCCAGACCAGATTCCATCAATGATATCAAAAGTATTGTATAGGATTCAGTAGAATGAAGGACTAGACTGAGCTCTGTGTGGCATCTAATGGTAGTATGTTGGTGTAAACTGTACAGCATGTACCTAATAAGATGCAGAAAAATGTACCAACATATTTTCTATTATATTTTTTGTGTTCTCATTAAAATCACTATTCTTAGTAAGCTGTACATCAAATCAAAAAGTGTCAGGTATTGCACCACTGCAGGCAAGAAGATGCATGGACAAAGCTGAAATCATTAGCACTTTGTAAACTAGACTGGCAAGTTAATGATAAATCTCTGCTTTCACAATTATATGACTTACAAATGAAGCTTGGTGAAACACATTGATGTCATCCTAGAGGTCAAGATAGGAGACATCGTTAACTTCTCATAGGAAGGGTCATTAGATGTACTCAAGGGTGGCTGCTGCATTGGAAGACTGAGCACATATAGAAATTTCCAGTGTGCAGTGAGATCGATTCTAAAAAACACATGTCACCACAACTACTATTCAACTACCTCAAATGTCTTTTGATAAAAACTTTGTTTGAACTACCTCAAATGTCTTTTGATAAAAACTTTGTTTGAACTACCTCAAATGTCTTTTGATAAAAACTTTGTTTCCTTCAGGAGTATGGCCATGAAACCAAATTCCCTGAAGCTAATGGGGATAACACATGTTGTCAATGTAAGTATGGGACGGATGTTTAGCCAGACCAACACATCTTCGGCCTTTTACAAGGAGCATGACATTGAGTTTCACGGAATTCCGGCCATGGATGTGCCAACGTTTAACATCCTCTCTTATCTCAGACCTGCCGCAGATTTTATAGATGAGGCATTGGCTAAAAAAGGTAAAAATTCTACAACATTCATATTACATATAATATGCCTTAAGTTAAACGGAAACTATAGAGATAAGAATATGCAGAACAAGCTGTCTTTCGTAGGATTGCTGATTTAAAATCAATATAATCGCATAGGAGGCATACCCGTATTTGCTAAAAACTACCTAAGTAAAACCATTCTACAGCTAGAAAATGCTGGGGTTATGTGTCATCATACAAAGGTAATGCAACTAACTTTTTCTTTTTGCAAGTCTAAGTATAAGACAGAGAAGCACTTATGGCACCTTCAAGGGCTGTGATGTTGGCTTGTAGCTCTTACAATACCAAATATTGTCATTTTAATTTGTTCCATTATAAGTTTTTACTTTAAGTAAAATGTTTGTGTTTGGGGAGTTACTGTAATAGCTGAAAGAGTATAAGTAACCTCCCCCTCATCCTGGATTTATAGAGCAACTGTGACAGAGTGGGTTAATAGAACAACTAATACTGAGTGGGTTAGCAGAACAACCTCACGTAGTGGGTTAATAAAACAACTGTCACGGAATGGCTTAATAGAACAACTGATACAGAGTGGGTTAGTAGAACAACTGTCAGAGTGGATAATATAACAACTGATACAGAGTGGGTTAGAACAACTGATACAGAGTGGGTTAGTAGAACATTAGAACAACTGGATACATCCTATTTGAGTGCATAAAATTAGATCCTGTCAGTTGAAATCAACAACTACATGGTGATTAACTTGTTAATAAATGAGATTCCATGTGTGGGTTCTTGGGCTCCAGTGGCTGGGGGTAGAGTAATAAACCTAGTGTCTCTCAATAAGTATATTGGAAAGGCAAACTAATTAAGGGTTGAAATCTGATGTGTTGGGCCGAAATGTGCAGATATGTCAGCCAAACTGTAAACCACAACACAGTGTGCCAACCACCTTTTTCATGGCTGAACACAGAAGAAGAAAAAAGAAGAATGGCATCAAGTTAACTCATCTCTTAACTCAGCACCATGTTTGTTGCATTCACAGGTAAAGTCTATGTTCACTGCCAGCAAGGGGTGTCGCGATCAGCTACTGTTGTCATAGCATTCTTGATACTGAAACGAAGCATGGATCTAGCGTCTGCCGTGAGAATGGTGAGACAGAAGCGGGAGATCTACCCAAATGATGGCTTCATACGGCAATTATGTGAGTTGAGTAAAGAGATTGGTTTTCCAAAGGGCTTTTAGAACAAAGTTCTCTGTTATTTCCTAGGAGCTTCAAAGGAGTTGTGATCTATATGTTGCCACAAAAAATAAAATAAAAAATGCTCAATTTAGATACAAGTCAACAAAATAATTAATTACGTTTCAGTATAATTTGTATATATAAAATGTTGTTTGTTGATTTTGTTTACTTACATGATAGAAAAATAAGTATAGGTGAATGGATCAAGAATTTATATAATTTTACTCTAGAAATCCAACCCATGCTCCGTTCCCCCTTCCTCAGTAGCCAGTGCAGAGTTTCCATACAGATGGTGCCACCTACAACTTGATTTCCTGCAGGTATAACATTGTCCAGATGATCTGCTCACTCCCAGTTGGATCATTATCTCCAGATAAGGATGTTCTGTCTGTGCTATTGCACTGTTCACTTGATTCCAATCTTCATCAGGTCCACTTAATTATAAAGTCACTCACTGCCCAGAGGGGTGGCAGTACCCTATCTATCGGCCTATTCTTTACCCCATACATCTTAATAGCTTGGACACAAAATCTGTGATATGCTTCTGATCTGAAAAGATATCAGTCCACTTGAAAAATAGAACTAGTTAGCTGCACGTTTTCACAATCATGAACGACAGATTTACGATTCTGCAGCTAAACAGTTTTTATCAAAGTATATTTTTTTACAAACAAGTGTGAAATATTTTCAGAATATTCAAATAAATTATGAAAAATGTATGCATATTTTATTTTTTATACTTGTCACAGAACAATAAAGAGGTTATTTACACCATTGTCTTTTTCTTTGTAGATACATTTACAAACAAGAATACACAAACAGCACTTATCTGGATTCATTTACAAACGAGAATACACAATTTCTCTCTTTCTAAGTCTCTTTGTCTCAGAAATACACTGATACCTCTTTTATTAGACACTCTCCCTCATTTGGGTACAGGAAGAGGATCCTGCCCTTCTTTCCCAATCTGAGTCTTTCTATCCCTGCATCAAGAAAGCAATTCTAAGAATGAACTGGTTTAGCTGGCTGTTTGTTCAGCTCTCTGGAAGATATTTGTAAACTTTCACCATGTCTGCCTTGTCAGAGTGGTGCAGGACAAGCCACACTGTCCACATGTTCATTTCCCAATGCACTAGTATGTTCTGGAGAAAAGATGCAAAGAATGGTCACTATCCACAAGTACTGCTTGCCACTCTGCACAGAGTGTGACTGTCTCCACAATTCATAGCGTGTTTTGTGAGTCTGTTAACAATCAAGATGTGTGCATGCAGATAGTTCTCAAGCTAGTAGAAAGCTGCTGTGGCTGTCTCCAGCTCTACTCTCAGACTAGATGTTGTTAGTGTGGTTTGTAATGATTTGTATATGTCTAAGGAAATATTTGTTTTTATTGTCTGTGATTTTGTACACAATAGTGTGTAACACACTATTGTGTACAAAATCACAGACAATCTGAAACAACTATTTCCTGAGACATAGTCAGTTTCATTCACTGGAGTTTCCATACAGATGGCACCTACAACTTGATTTCCTGAAATGAACATTGTCCAGATGCTTGCTCACTCCCAAGGTTATTGTGAAACAAACAAACAAACTTGGCTGATGAGCCATGGAGCAAGCTGAAATACTAATGCTCTGCGAGAAGTAAAACATTTGCAAGAACCAGTTGATGACTGAATCTGCAACCATGGCCATTAAAAAAACAACATGTTAAAAAAAATGTAGCCAGACAAGAGATATTGCCAGGTAATAAAGAAGATTTTCTTAACCAACACATGAACTGATTTTGTAAAGACAGCTGCAAGATTGACCGTGAATCTGAGCATTGATGGACTGTGTTTTCAAGGTGCAATGAGGGTACTATTCTCGAGAACTAATCTACCAAACATACTAATAGCCTTTGTCAAGCAAAAACACAGGATGAAAACAGTTACTACTAAAGTATATTTTTTTTTTCAAGTGTGAAATATTTTCAGAATATTCAAATAAATTATGAAAAATGTATGCATATTTTATTTTTTATACTTGTCACAGATCTATATAAAGAGGTTATTCACACTCATTGTCATGTTTTCAATGTCATGATGTGCCTTTAACTGTCAGGTTACTTTCATTTGTTAGATTTCTCTCTCTCTCAGTCTCTTTCTCTCCACACACACACTTTTATTATCTCTCCAACTCAATTTTCTTATACTACATCGACCCCCCCCCCCCCCCCCTTGAGAGACAAATATGTTGCTATCCCTGCATCATTCTCAATTCTCTTTAAAAAAAGTTTTCTGTATCTTCTTACTCTTTTGTCTTTGTGACCAACCTCATAATTTTTTGTATTGGCGGGCTCTTTTCTAGGCTAATTTTCTTTCTAGTTGTTTGTCATTGCTTCAGTGAACGGCCAACTTCGGTACCACTGTTGAAATCAATTTAAGACAAATCATCTTTTTATGCATTACAAGCATAATAGGTTACACGTTCATTTGAGTAAATCCAATCACTCATGGTGCGTTTTTGTTACTGAAATAAAGAGTCAAGGCTGGGTCGACCTGGAAGCAAAGGTCATTTCAGGAAGAACTGTCCAAGCTGAAGCTTTGGAGAGGAAACGGATTAAACATACGAATCTTTATGGAGCATCATAGCCGCTATGCATGGCCGCTCCCTTGAGTTTAGTACTCATGTGAGTAACATTAGGAAGACTAGAACAGAAAGCTCAAAATGCCAGAATAGATGACGCAGTAGTGCACATCACTGGTTCTGTTCATCAGGTTTAAATATCTGGCTAGGGTTTCTCAGAGTGAAGAGAAAGGTCGTGAAAGAACACAATGGTGAGTTTTTAACTACACCTTCTAGCATGAGGACCCGCAAATGGATATTTGAAACTAGAGTTGTCGATCATATCAGCGCCTGATTCTCTGCCAGTATTGCACAACGTTCAAAATGAACAATTGAGTGGGTATCAGGCATCACCGTGCCTCAGTTACAGGGACTCAAGTGGATATACTGTCTGGGACATGCAACAGTGTGAGCATGTCCAGATGTGTAAGTTTGGAATTAAGTGTGAATCCAGCAGGAAAATGGTTGAAATGGACAGCTGGAGGTGTGTATAGCCAATGTTCAATTATTATGGCCTGGAGAGAAGGAGGCACCTGGGTGTAACCAAAGGGTCTGGCCAGCTCACTACACTCAGAGGAAAGGCAAGACGGACATATAACCAGATTGTGACCGGTACCATCAATATTGGAACTCTGTGCTGGCTGCTGAAGATGAGGGCGGAGTATGCATAGGAATGCCCTGTGTGCTGTGATGTCAATTCTTAACTCAACTGTTCTGCTGGAGCTGTCAGCATCTAGACCTTACGACACTTACACCTTGACACATAACAGTTATTTTATGTCAAGTGTGCCTAGATGTCGATTCTTAAATCAGTAGTCTGTTAAATGCGGGTGAGTCCGGCTCGCTAGCGTAGTTGGTTAAAACTAACTTCGCGGCGGCCAGGGGACGAACTCCTTGTGGTCCGGGTTTACGCCCGGGGGTATGCAGAAAAGCCACATTTCTCCCAGATTTATGGTGCCTTTAATGGAATCGAGGCCGCAGGCTTGCGATATCCATAGTACCTACTTCTGCGTTCGACATTAGTCATGCTAAACATTGAGTCCCATCTGGGTCACAAATAGGATTGTGCGTTTAAGGTCGCCACCGGTCCCTCATAGCTTCTCTTGCAATGTGGCTCCCTTGTGCCAGATCCACAGTCTTTGCTGGGAGAGGTTAGGGCAGTACTGCAGTATGTACTCAGGGGTCTGTCTTTCTGCTCCACAATCACAGGCAGCAGATTCTGTTATGCCTATCCTGAACAGGTGTGCTCGAAGACCACAGTGTCCTGGCCGAAGTCTAAAAATTGATGTTTGTTCTTTCCTGTTGAGTTTGTTTATGTTGTCACTCTCTGGTTTGTAATCTCCGTTCTGCCTTCTCCACTCCCGCTTGAAAGACTGTTTTGGCGCCGTTTTTGGTTTCCTTGTGTGGTAGATGAGGTTGTGAAAGATTACTCCCAGCTTTTGCCAACTCATCTGCTCTCTCATTTCATTGAATACCACAGTGAGCTGGTATCCACTGCAAGACCAGTTCTGCTTCCTTGGAGAGTAAGCCAATGTTGGTCCTTAGATCTGCAATTAGTTTGTCTTGTTTTCTGTTTGATAGTGCTTAGAGAGCAGACAATGAGTCACTAGGTATAACAATTTTGTGCCCTCTGTGTTCTTGAGTGATGAGATGTTGGACTGCAAAAAGGAGGGCAGTTGCCTCAGCTCTGAAGTTAGTGCAGATGTCACCTGCTTGTATCCATAGTACCGAACCAAGGGGTTTGCAACTCATGGTTTCTGGATACCTTAAAAAAAAAAAAAGCCACGGGTGAAACTTTTTGATGTTATAGAAACGCGAGTGGCGTCCCTTCCAACAAGATGTCGGACTTCGACTGGCCCTGGCAATACAAGTTTCCGCCGTTTTTCACGTAAGTTTTTCTCAAACAGGACCTTCTATGCAAGTCTAAATTAGCGGCAGTTAATCCGTTAGCAGTGTTTTCCTCAGTTGTTTTATATTTTAAGATATTCTGCTTCCCATTTTATTATTCTGCACTTTATTCCCGATTGGAGCTAACTGATAGAAATAACACTTGACATATTTTAAAATAAAAATCCACACACGGTCACACACACAACTCGCCAAAAAATCGTCTTAGTTAATCAGCTTAATCTGACGGACACAATTGAAAGACATAATACAATCAGACTGTTACCAGTAGAATCGGAACTATGCGCTGGCTGCTTAATTATGGTGGAAACGGGGCGTTTACTGTGTGAGTGCTGTTAAACTTAAACTAAACTAAAATATATGTGCCGGCTCTGGATAACGAAACAAATGCTCTGACAGGGTCTCGGCGATACGTTGCTTGCCGACCTGCTTCTGCGAGTGTGCCTCACTGCCGAGCTTATCACCCGCGCCGCTACGCGCAACGCGGATGGGGGCTAAACTAGATGGCTGGGACTTACGAGCAGCAGTCAGCTACCGCATCTCCTGCAACTTCCTCCAATTACTGTACTCGTGAATCCCAGGCACCTAGTTTAATCCCCATTCGCGCCGCGCGTAGCGGCGCGGGGGATACCCTCAGCAAGGAGTTTAATCACGTTTGGCGCATGCCGACATGTCTGACATCTAACGCTGCTAAATCCTCCAATTGGAAGAACACAGTATTGCTAATCGGCTTTCATCGTCTGTAATGTCTCGAAATTGGTCAGCAGTGGCTAATATCGTCTGCTAGTATCGTTGTCTGCAGAAACGCTCGAAATTGTTGTCAACGGTCGGTATTTATCGTCTGCTACTAGTACCGTGTGCAAATGTTGATATTGATTGTCAAGTAATCCTAGTTTTGCCACGATTTGTTCCTTGGCAGAAAGTCCGTATTTTAGATATACGCGAACACCGTCGTTCGGATATTTTTGGATATTTTATGGCCAGAATCTGGGGAATGATTCAAAGGAGCTCCATTGTATATATTATGTATACCCTAACAGGGCCTCAGGAGTCACATGTAAATTGCGAACCTCCAGCGACTTAAGTTGCGCACTTCCGACGACTACCACCACCGCCGAGAGTATCTCCTATGCCTTTTGCGCGGCGTGGAGTGGGGCTAAACTAGATGGCTGGGACTCACAAGCTGCAGCTACCGCATCTCCTGCAGCTTTTTTCATTTTATTTGCTTGTGAGTCCCAGCCATCTAGTTTTGCCCACTCCAGGCCGCGCGTAGCGGCATGGAAGATACTCGTTTCGGAAGTCCACAATTTACATGTGACTGAGGCCCTGTTAGGATATATTTTCGGCCTCAATAATTTTGGACTGTTATTTGGAAGGTAGCCTAAGTTCCTACCATCTTCTTAAATTATCCAGAGCAGTTCACCCATCTTCATATTATATTTTTTCTGAGTCTGTCTGCTTGCAGGTCTTTTTATTTTGAGATCTCACATTTTAAAATTCTCCTTGTTTCTCCCCCCCCCCCCCCCCCCCCCCCCAAACCCCTTTTTTTAGCCACATTTTGGGCTGTCCTCCCAATAACAGTCCCAAATTATCAAGGCTGAAATTATACCTCAACAGGGCCTCAGTCACATGTAAAATGCTGGCCTCTTTCCGGCAACTACACAGCATACTGCGTGACTTCCGCCGAATTCAAGTCACCGCGGAGAGTATCTCCCGCGCCACTACCCACGGCCCAGAGCAGGGTTAAACTAGATGGCTGGGACTCACGAGCAGCAGCTACTGCATCTCCTGCAGCTTCGATCATTTTATTTACTCGTGAGTCCTAGCCATCTGGTTTAACCACATTCCATGCCGCTGAGATACTCTCGGCGGTGGCGGTATAGTCGCCGGAAATAGGTCCGCAGTTTACGTGTGTCTGAGGCCCTGTTAGGGTATTTTTTGGGCCTCGATAATTTTGGACCATTATTTAGAGGATAGCCCACATTTGCATCCTATATATTATTAAAATAAGACAAATCCCAGATACCTCATTTAGTTAGCCTCTTTTGAAGTTATTGCTAAGGCACACCAGGTACTGCTCTAACATACACGGCTGTCGTGGATGAGCTGGGGTCTTGTTGTTAACAAAATGCAATGACTGTATTTTCAGGTTTTCTCATTATTTCTCTTTTCTATCCAGTGCCAGAATCTTTTCCTCAGTGGAATTTTAATGGAGGAAGTTTGCACTGAAGGCCTGTGTTCCTTCTTCAGCCCTTGTGTACGTCAGCATAGTGCAAGCTCTCAACAAACTCACACCAGTCGTCCTATTTATTGCTGTTATCTGTCTCATTTCAAGCTCACCCTGCATCATCCCCATCTTGTTCATTTTGGTTATCTAGTTATCTTCTCTATATGGTTTTTTTTAATCCCCTTTTTTCTTATTTTGACTTTGTGGGCTGCAGAGCAAAAATGTTCTAGTTATAATATTATCAGGTTTTTTTTTTGTAATAAAATTCCTGTCCAGTGCCAGTGTCTTTCTCACTTCTTGATTCTGTAGAATTTGTTCAGTCATTCATCATGGTTCCAACTTTACTCTAGATAGGTCTCTCTATAGTTGTTCAGATCCTTTGCCAGTGGAAATGACACTTCTTCTTAGTGCTGACCAGCTGTAAACTCTGGTGGAAAGATCTTGACCAAAAGCAAATAAGTTTTCAGATTCAAAGCATTGGCTGGCCTATCCACAATATTAGAAGGCAGAATTTGTTTCTTTTCTAAAACTCCAAATTGGTCATAATTACACATCTTCTCATCAGGATTCAACCTAATCTTGAAACTCGCAAGAAACAGCTTGATGCCTGGTGCAGCCTCATCTTGAGCTATCAGAAACATATAAAAAAGTATCATCTGGATATCACTGAGGCACAGAACTCTGAACTTTTCTACAACAAACAGCTCAACAGTAAATATGCATTGTTGTTTCTAGCGATATTTTCATGTTTTTTTGTTATTCATGCTCATTATTGTTTATTGGGATATTGTTAAGGTTATCTCTAGGGCTGTACCGAATAGTGATTTTTACTATTCGGCCGAATACGAATAGTGGGACCAACTATTTGGCCGAATACGAATAGTGTATAATGTAAAAATATATCTAAAAAAAAAAACACATTTAAAATGTCAAATGTATGCTGAACTTTTACTTCACATAAAGTAGCACAGAATAGTCATCTTCTTCTTTAGCATTCTGAGCCCTTGAGGTTTACTGCTGCAGATATCACTCGTCTCCAATCATCTCTCTTGCAGGCCTTTTCTGCACAATTTGTGACACCAGTTGTTTGCAGGTCTAACTGGACATTATTTCTCGAACTTCTTTTTTGTCTACCTCATGGTCTACGCCCATTCCTCTCTCAAGTGTGTACAGTTTTTACTTCTCTGTCATCTTACATTCTTTCAATATGCCCCAACCATTTTAGTATGTTAGCTCTCATTATGCCAGTGATAAATGGTGATTTAAACAGATTATGTGTTACGTTGTTGCTTCTCACTCTCCATTCCCTGTTAGCATTTTTGATGGATCCAAAAATTTGTCGTAAGACTGTTTTCAATAACCTGTAATAAGGCTTCATCTCTTTTAGTTGTGCTCCAAGTTTCAGAGCCATATAAAACAACTAGTCTTATCAACGTTTTAAATATTTTGATCTTGGTGTTGTGAGACAGACACTTTGATTTTAGCAGACATTAAAGGGCATAGTATACTTTATTTCTAGAATGTATTCTAGATTGTATTTCTTCTCTCAGCATGTTGGAGCAGTTTAGGTTTGCACCCAAGTGCTTATATGTTTCCGTTCGTTTGATTTTCATATTAACAACTTGGATGTGGTCAGAGTTTATATTCTTTCCATGTCTAGTTAGTATTCGTACAGAATAGTAAACATTTAAAAACATTTTATGTCTTTCATCCTTCAGTCAGTCTGTGGTAACTAATAACTAGGAATGAAAGAATCCTAAGTATTATAACAAGTAACTAAACTTAGAAATTGTCACTGACAGCTTAGTTAATGCAGGAAAGCTGTATTAGCTTTGAACAAAACCAATCGTTTCATGTTGTCAGCATTAAGGCCGTGTATGCAGAAGTGGGTGTAAGGTAACTACTATTCGTATTTGGCCCGACCGCAACTATTAGGATGAATACGAATATTCAATAGGTCCACTATTCGGCCCAGAAGCGAATACGAAGCGAATATTCGGTACAGCCCTAGTTATCTCATTAAGCTCTATTTTTGGTACTCATTGTTTCATGTTTACTTATTCATATTCTTGGTTTCTGGATATATTTTCAGAATTTTCATGTTCAGTCATTTATACTATTTTCCTGATATTCATGTCTATTTTCAGTGCTTATAGTGATTTGTATGTTAACTGTTAACTTTATTAATCACTACAAATAGACAAATGAATTGATATGTCTAGGGTTAATATTTCACATCTGAAGGAAGAATGTAGAGAGAAATCAATTAGTTATTTTTGTTTGTAAATATATTTTCGTGGAAATCTTGTTGAAATTCATTGTTTGAAGTCATATCTTCATGTTTCTGTTCATCTCTATTGTTGTTCGTGGTATTTTTTATTTGTTTAATTTCCATTTTGTATTGTTTTATACAGTGATGATTCTCTTGTTCAGATTTATTGTTTGCAGAGGTATTACCATGGTTTTAGTAATAATTTATTGTTGCTTGTGGTTAAGTTGAGTTAAAATCTGACATCACAGCACTTGGGACATTCCCATAAATGCTCTGTCCCCATCTGTAGTAGTCAGCTCAGAATCTATTTTTGATGATGCTAGTAGCCATTGGCACAACAGAGGAATGCATTCCACATTACATCCACTGTTCACAGTGTTGCACCAAGTACTCATCTTTTAGACTACCAGTCCAGAAATGGGGAATCACATCACCAATGGTGAATCACATCAGCAATGGGGAATCACATCGGCAATGGGGAATCACATCAGCAATAAGGAATCACATCGGCAATGGGGAATCACATCAGCAATAAGGAATCACATCAGCAATGGGGAATCACATCAGCAATGGGGAATCACATCAGCAATGGGGAATCACATCAGCAATGGGGAATCACATCAGCAATGGGGAATCACATCAGCAGACCTTAACTAAAAGCAAATAACTATCAAAATTCAAAGCATTAGCCACTAGCTAGTCTATCTGCTATATTGGATCAGAAGACAGATTTGGGCTATCTTCAGAATAACGGTCCCATATTATCGAGGCAGAAAATATACCCTAACAGGGCCTCAGTCACGTGTCAATTGCGAATTTTCGCCGATTTTAATTGCGCACTTCCTGCGACTTCCGCCACCGGCAAGAGTACTCCCCACGCAGCATGAGCAGCGTTGATTGGGGCTAAACTAGATGGCTGGGACTGACGAGCAGCAGTTACCGCATTTCCTGCAGCTGCCTTTGTTTTATTTGCTCGTGAATCCTAGCCATCTAGTTTAGCCCCAATCCATGCCGCGTGAGCGGTGTGGGGAGTACTCTCGGAAGTGGCAAAAGTCGCTGGACATTCTCAATTCGGTGCCGCCGGTATGGTCCCTGGAAGAACGCATTTGACACGTGACTGAGGCCCTGTTAGGGTATATTTTCTGCCTCAATAATTTGGGACCGTTATTCAGAAGATAGCCCAGATTTGTGTCTATTCTAAACTCAAAATTGATTATTGCCTATACTTCTGAATCTTGAAGCAAGATACCCTGGTCACTTCCTACTGCACCATTCGTATTGCATTGTAATTGTCTGTCTGTGACTGTACTGTTCATTTGCTTCCAAAGGGCCTTGACTAAATCTAGCTAGTCGTGCATCGATTTGCTACCAGGTGGTGCAAAACCAGCCAGTCTCTCTCTGCCTAATATAATTTTCTTGAATGAGTTGTTGAATTTCTGATTGTGCAGGACCTGCTGGGCGTGCCCAGTCCAGTGTAATTAGAACCCTAAACTAGACTAATTCTTGCTTGGACACTTTGGCCAACTTCTCTCTTCATCCAGTTGTTTGTAGTACTGTTTTCATTATCTTATTCAAATGGTTTGTAATAATACTTTTATTGTTTTCAAATAGTTTGTAATGATACTTTCATTGTTTTCTTACTGAACTTTGCTGTTGTTTATAATGATCTGTTTAATGCTTTGGCTTCAGCATGTGAAGGATTAGTTAGAAATTATCTTCCCTTTCCATTCTACAATTTATTTACATGAAGCTAGGGTTTCACTATGCACAGCACTTTTCTATGTAATCTCCCTCCTTATCAGTGTACTTTGCCCAACAATCAGCCAGCTTAGGTTTTTTCAGATGGTCATGAAGCCACTTTTGCACCGCATTTTGCACATCTAAGTCTAAATCTGCAACCTCTTCGTGGGCTACACTTATTCGACCACTTTCATATTTCTCATTCCACAAAAACACAGTTTTACATGATAGCGCACTTCCCCCAAATTGTGATGATAGTCTGTTACATATTTCTGAACTTTTGACACGCTCTGACCAGAAGAATCATGTCACTGCTTGTTGTTCCTCTTTAGTGCGAACTTCTAATGGAGCAGCCAGGATCTGCCTGCAACAGAAGGAATACTTACTTACTTACTTAGTCGCTCCTCTTCTACCTTGGGGTGTAGAGGTTTGCCAGAGAGATCGCCAGACGTCTCTATCAGCAGTTTTCTTTCTGGCTTTGTTCCATTCCAGTCCTCTGTCAGTCAGGGACTGTCGGATGTTGTCTTCCCAGCGCACCCTGGGTCGTCCCGGAGGTCTGGTTCCCTGGTTCTTAGCCTCCCATGCTTGCCATGGTGGCCGATTTTCTCCCATTCTGCACACATGTCCAAACCATCGTAACTGTGACTGATCCACTCGGGTTAGTAAGGGCTGGGTATCAAGATCTTGACGTATGTCTGATTGCGGACTTTGTCCCTTCTTGTCACTTGGACCACCTTTCTCAGGTATCTCATTTCCGAGGCCTGCAGCTGGCTTCTGTGAGCTGTTGTCATTGCCCATGACTCACACCCATAGGTCAGGACTGGTACATAGGTAGAGCGGTAAACAGCCATTTTCGTCCTCTTGCCAATTTCTCTTTTGCTAAGAAACCCTCGGTTTATGGCCTGGAAGAGTCTCCCAGCAGCTGCTTTTCGTGTAGCCAGCTCAGTCTTAATGCCTCCATTTTGGTCTAATACAACTCCAAGGTATTTGAACTGGTTAACCTGCTCCAACGCATACTGACCCATCATGATCTGGTGTTTCTTCTCCTCTCTTGAGATCACCATGGTTTTAGTTTTGGAGACACTGATGGTCATCCCTTCTTTTCAAGCTCTTCCTTCCAGACAAGTAAGTTGTACTGAAGGTGTGCCTCTGATTTAGCTATCAGGGCCACATCGTCTGCAAAAGCCAGCTCTGATATACAGATTGGTCTCATCTTCCAGTACCCTACAGAGTACTTCTTTGTCTTCTCCTTACAGGTCTTGATGACATCATCCATCATAAGAATGAAGAGGTAAGGTGAGAGAATATCACCTTGTCTAACACCGCTGGTGGTCTTAAATTCTTCTGACTTTTGGTCTGCTGTTCTTACATAATTTCTGCACTTTTTGTAGAAACTCTGTATTGCACTGATCAGGGGTGCTGGGATGTTTTTCCCTGCCAAGCAGTCCCAGAGCTTGTTCCAGGGTACCTTGTCAAATGCCTTTTCCAGATCCAAAAAACATAAGTGAATCTCACTCTTATATTCCAGGGCTTTTTCACTCATCTGTCTCAGTGTGAAGATAAGGTCTTGAGTACTTCGGTTTGCTCTGAAGCCGCACTGGGCCTCGTCCAGCTGTGGCTCTACCAGACTTCTAAGTCTCTGCTCAAGAATTCTAGAGTAACTTTTACCGGGAATGCTGAGGAGGGATATGCCTCTGTGGTTTTCACATTGTCTGTTATCACCTTTTTTAAATATAGGTATAATTATGGCAATCTCCCAATCTTTTGGTATAGTTTAAATGACATAATTAGGATCAAACTTTTATTACATTGCCAAAACAGTATCTGTAACAATAAAACAAGAGAGGTCAGTGTGGACAATGTACGTAGAGTTATATCAAAAGTGTAGATAATTTTTTTGACTTCCCCTAGTATATATTGTTTTTCTCATTTCTTTTCCGAGGACGGCTTTCCCTGGACGCCATTTATACAGTTCTGGAGGAGCTTAGAAAAAGAGGTAAAATGTATTCCAGTTTAAAATCATTATGCAAATATAGGTTTACATTTATTTTGAATAGGGGTTGGTGAACATGTCTCTAAATCTTCACTGTTTCAGAATTTCATTTTTGTGACAGGTGTTTTTAAAAATAAAATTTGTACAGTGTTATGAGAGTTGCACTGTGTAATATTCTCAGTCACGACATTTCCACTGCATTCAGCCTTCATTATGGAGAAGGCACAGTGTATATATATGTATACACACACACACACACACGCATATATATATAAAAAAGAATGTTTGATACAGTAGTGCCTAAGAGGAAAGGAATCAACAGTCTGTTTAAAAATAAACCAGATCTGTTAAATGGATGTGCACATAAAGCTCATCTTCTGGAAAAACACTTAAGTCCAGAAGTGGATGAACAACCAGAACTTTCCACCTGGTGAATGTGAAGATCAAGAAGACTGCATATTGGGCATTCCCATGCATGCTCAGTCCTCGCATGTAGCAGCCATGCCAAGGTACCTCTACTGATTGTTCCCATAAGAAATTGGTTGCAGTGTTCCCTGTCTGATCTTCAGAAACAGCACCAAAATGCTTCACTCCTACGTTGTATCATTGATAGATTGAAAGGAATTTTAATGAAATGCTCAATGAAATATTGCTTAAATAAAAGCTGAAAGACATTTCATTGAAATATTGCATATACAATAAGTTGGTGATAAAACTTTAATAGAATTTTTGAATGTATTACATATTGATCAAGGTTTCATTGAAGTGTATTTGACATATTAACAGAATGTCTCCGAGGTGATGTTTAAACAATGTGCTAATCCTTTTGCTCTGGAATCCCTTAAAAATGGGTTCTGAACCTTCAAATTCCTGCGGGGTGTGGCACAATCATTAAACAACTATTTTATACAGGTCACTTCAAAATATTTCTGTTGATATATATTTTTATGTATACATATATTTTTTTTTTCTCCAGAAAATATTAAGGAACGTAATCAATAAATATGAACCGGGTAGACTTAACTAGATTTTATTCCCCTGAACCTAGAGAAATGTATCTGCTGACTCATACAGTGACCCCGTGACCTCTTCAGAGTTCTTAACACTAAAGTTTTGGGGAATTTGGGATGTCAAAATCACTTCAAAATATCTATTTTGTTTACTGGAAAACCCGTAAATGCTATTTTAGTAAATATGTTCATATCCTAATCTACACCAGTAGTGTTCACTAAGCTTCTTAGGGACAGCTGGGAGCGGCAGAAAACTGTGGATTTTGATAAAGAACACATTCCTGTGAGTACACATGGTGAAGACATTAAAAAAACATTTTTATCAGGAACAGAAAAGTGATTCAACGCTTAAAAGCAGTAAAAAGAGATCCTAAATGCAGTATGGAAATTTAAAGTGAATAAAGGCATTCTAAGTAGAGTGTATTCCTGATGTCTAACTAGAATGTGCTTCAAACGTGGACGAACAGTAAATCAGATGCTTCATAATGCCGGGGTGTCGGGTTTGGTCCCAGCTGAGGATGGTTTGTCTTGTGTTGTTTTGTTAGTGTTACTGAGAGCTGACCATTCAGAAGCAGCGGCAAATAACTGAACGTAAAATTTGCCTAGAAAAAAGCACAGCCAAAAATTGCTGGGGTTGGTTCTGCAACATCCTGTAAAGGATAAACTGCTAACTAACTTAGGGACACCCGACTGTAGAAATGTTGGGTACCCAGTATTTTTGGGAGTGGGTCACTGCCAGCTGTGCATGATTTTAGACTTTTCGGGCTGAAAAGGTATATGTTGCATTGAAATATTGTGTGTGTCTATAATCATTTGTGCCATGTCACCAGGAAATCTTGAGTGGAAAGATAAAAACCGAACATCCTGTGTGCTAGTGTGGAGGACACCTGCGGAATGGGGCAAGATGATATATAACTGGGTGAGTTTCTATCTTCTTCTTAACCTCGCTATAAGCTGTATCCTAGTGGCTAGACATCCTTGACAGATCTCTCTATATAAATCTGTAGTTAGCTGATGTACGACAGGGTGAGTTTCTTTCTTCGTGACTACTTTCTTTTACTTCTGATGATCATCATCCTGTTTACCATTATACATCATATAGGGCTTGCAGTCTAGAAAGTAAAGGACCCTTTTCCATGCCTTCAGGTGAATTAGGCATATAGGACTAGACCTGTGTTTTATAGACCAATTGGCACTTTGTGGATGACGTGCTTGGCATCACACTGACTGCCTTTGCTTCCCTTGGCACTTTGTGGATGACGTGCTCGGCATCACATTGACTGCCTTTGCTTCCCATGGCACTTTGTGGATGACGTGCTCGGCATCACACTGACTGCCTTTGCTTCCCATGGCACTTTGTGGATGACGTGCTCGGCATCACACTGACTGCCTTTGCTTCCCATGGCACTTTGTGGATGACGTGCTCGGCATCACACTGACTGCCTTTGCTGCCCATGTCACTTTGTGGATGATGTGCTCGGCATCACACTGACTGCCTTTGCTTCCCATGGCACTTTGTGGATGACGTGCTCGGCATCACACTGACTGCCTTTGCTTTCCATGGCACTTTGTGGATGACGTGCTCGGCATCACACTGACTGCCTTTGCTTCATATGGCACTTTGTGGATGACGTGCTCAGCATCACACTGACTGCCTTTGCTTCCCAGTACTGCACCCACTCAAAGCTGAGTAGACCTGGGAGCCAAAATCATTTTTTTTTTAAAGTTCAGCTCCATCAGAGCCTGAACCCACGATCTTCGGTTCTGCAGGCAAGGGTCTAGCCCCTACAGGGTTATTAAGTAGCTGTTTAAAAATTATAAAATGCTTGGGTTGAAAAGGGTAAGATAAAGTTGGCTGCTCATGAAACAACTGGATGATGTAAAAAAAAGTTAGTATTAGTTGTCATGCATAGAGAAGCTAAGAAATGCATGATGCTTTTTTGGGTACTGAATGAGTTAAGGGGGTCCATGATATCATTGACCCCCTCCCCCACCCTACCAAAAAAACAACTCAGCTTTAGACTGGAATCTTTCTGCTTTTTCTTCTGCTTCTTCTTTGCTCACCGACAAGTCCTGATTGTTCATCCATTTGGACTTTGACTTTATGCCAGGGCCTGAGTTTTGCATGTACTGCCATTTTACTGCCTTTTTTGTGTGCAGTTGGTTGTTCCTTGCCGCTCAGGCAGGTGCACTCTGATTTCGAAGGAAGCTCCCAGTTAATTGACTCCTACAACATGCTTGCTGGGAAGGTAGTGTGTCTATTCTTGTTTTCCCCATATTGGGGCCCTGAAACCCACACGGGTTTGCTGTTTCTGGTGTTCATCATTTTTAATCCCGCTTCAGAATAACTATTGAAAAGTCTTTAGCAGACCTTGAAAAAATAGAATCGTCCACAGGTCTCAGCTGATGGGGAGCCACTGGTTTGCAGAATCTCATTTATGTAATGTGGATGCTTTAGACTTGTTTTTCATCTTAGACAGTTTCCTGTTATGTTTTTCAGATAACCTCCAAGTCAATGAACAACACTGTATGTACGCTGTATGAACTCACTGGAGATGAAAGCGAGGGACAAGGTTAGTGCAATCCTTAGGATTTCTCTGTTATTGTCTATCACTTTAAAGTCAAGGTAGGTGTTTGGGTAGTTTGTCTCCACTAGGTTCGTGGTCTCTAAGATTAACGCCTCATGGATGGGAGTCGAACAAGCACAAATCTCTGTAGTCCTGTTCAGTTGTGCCATCATCATCATTTGCTGTGTCGGTAAGAGTAGACTGTCTTTTTTCGCCATCTCACACGATCACCAAAATCCCAGATCAGTTCAGTGTTTTTGTCTCGTTCCATCCATTTGGCCAAGCTATCCAGGTATTTTTCTCTCTGCCTTCCTCTTGCTCTTTTTCCATCAATTTTGCCAGTTGTTACCAAATTCTTGCTTCTTTTTCTTCTCATAACGTGTCCGCTAAAAAAAATTAAGTGACTAATTGTTCTAATAAGTTTACGACTTTCATCTATCTCGATGAGGAATCTATCTCGATGAGGACTGCCTCGTTTGTTTTTTCTATCCTTCCTTGATATTCTTTGCCTTGTTCTCAAAAACCACATCTGTGCTGCCAGTAATAATGTTTTTCAGCTTTTTCACCTATTGTCCATGTTTCACATGCGAATAACAACACACTTTAATATTTCTCACTGCAATTGACATCTTCTTGTTAGTGAGAATCTTTTGCATTTTAAAAAAGGCCACTTTTTCCATGGCAATTCTTGTTTTAATTTCTGCAAGGCATCTTGCGTCAGGTGTTATGCCTTTTCTCAACTAAATAGTCGTATCTATCAGCTTGCTTAAGAATTTTGCCATTTACATGTATTTCACACTTTGGTATTTCCTACTTCTTGTGATGACCATAATTTTCGTTTTCTAACAGTTTAATTCCATGCCTCATTTCTCACTGTGAACTATTACTGCGTCTACTAAACACTGTAGATCTTCTGCATTGTCTGCAATTAACGTATCATCTGCATATCTTATATTGTTGATGTTACATCCTCCCATGTTAATTCCCTTCATATCTTTTAGATGTCACATAATATTTTCACTGAATAAGGAAAACAAATCTGGAGACATTACACATCCCTATTGCACACCTCTCTTGATTGGTTGGTCCAGCTCTACTTCATTATCAATTCTTATAGCAGCACGTTGTTTCCAGTCTGTGTTCTTAATCAGTCTAAGGTTTTCCCCATCAGTTTATACATTTGTAAACATTTTTTTGTCATGTCGGCGTGTATTACAGTGTCAAAATCTTTTGTGTAATCAATAAATCAGAGATGACCTTTATTTACTTCTATTGAACATTCTGTTAGTGTTCTCAGGAATTAAAACAGCATTTGTTGTACTCTGGTCTTCTACGAACCCACATGGCTCTTGGCCTATTTCTAGTTGTATTTTTTCATATGATTAAAGACATTCCGAACTTCATCATCATCATCATCAAGTGCCTTGCCAGCTGGTGTAGGCGTTCATGCATCTCCACAGATCTCGGTCTTTGGTGTTCTGGATCAATTCCACTGATGATATTCCTCCATGCCACTGTCTCAATCCATCTTGCATCAATTCTCTTGGTCTGCCTCTTCTACCAGTGATCTTTCCAGTCATCATGATGTGAAATTCTGAACTTCCATCTTCAAAACTGGTCCTTCATTGTTGCTAATAATATTAAAATTATCTTTGCCGGAATCACTGAAAAGATCTTTCACAGTTAAATTGGGGCCTGACAACTTTGTAGTAACCTGAAGTCCAAACCAGGCGGGGACAAAAAGATTGACTCTTTTACAGATGGCTTCTTCCTCTCCTTCTTCTTCTGCTGCTGTTGTTTTTTTTTTCTTTCTTCTCCTTCCTCTGCTCCTGCTGCTTCTTCTTCCTCCTCCATCTACTGCTTTTTCTTCTTATGCTTTCTCCTCATCTGTCTTCTACTTCTCTTTATTCTTCCTCCTCATCCTTCTCTTCCTCTTCTTCATCCTCATCCCTCTCTTCCACTTCTTCTTGTAGACTGCCTTCTTCTGTTGCTGGTAAACAGCTCTTCGCATGAGTTCATTTCTTTAAAGCTATCTTAATTACTCTTTATTGCTCCTAATAAATCCATGTCATTGTTGGTTAGGAAAAGAATTCTTGCATGCTATATAGAGCCAGTTTTAACGTATGGCTGTGAAGCCTGGACAATTAATAAACAAACCAAACAATATTTAGAGGCCACAGAGATGAGGTTTTACAGAAGAATCTTTAGAATTCCATGGACATCTAAGAGAAGCAACCCAGATGTTTTGAAAGAGGCGAATGCTCGAAGACAACTGATCACAAACATCAGAAAAAATCAGTCATAGTTTTTTGGTCATGTTATGAGAAGAGGGAAAATGGAACATATTGTGGAAAAAAAAAGAGAAAGACAGTGTAAAAATATTTTTGACAGTCTTTTGTCATGGCATGGAGGGGTGTCAGCACACACACATTGTGGAAAGGCATGATCGCCCACGCCAGTTGGTAAGGCACTTGATGATGATGATTGCTCCTAACGACTCTCTCACATTTACGTCTGTAATTTTATTATTGAACACTGCATGATCATCTTTGTTTCAGAATTCCATGGACTTGATAAAGACATTTTAATACGAGCGCTAAAGACCCTAGAAGCAGAGGGCAAAGCTGAACTGATGCAGGTTGATGGCAGTGAAGGGGTGAAATTTTTCTAATGATGGCTTGTTGTTAGTTACGGTATTGAGACTTATAAATATTAAGAGTGAAACTCCTTGAAGTCCATCATGGGTGTATGTTATTGTTTTTTGTGTGTGTGTGATTTATGTACACTTATTGTATAAATTGTGTGAAACTGCAGCGAGAAAGTGTTGAGAGGCTATATAGAACATTTGTTGTTAGATGCATGTGAGGTAGAAATGCTGATAAACATTTACCTGCAGCTAAGATGTTGTTTCTAAGAAGAAGCCATAGACTATCATGGAATGAAAGAAAAATAAAATAGACAGTCTTCCAGGAGACAGATGAAAACTATAAACCAATAGAGAATAATTTCACAGACAGTCGGTATTGTTCTTTATTGTTGAACATATTGTGAGAGAAAAAAATGGACTCAAGGACTTTTATAACAACTGACAAGATGGATGGAAACAGATCAAGGGGATGGCAGAGAGATGAATAACTGGATGGTTTGGCTTGGCCACATGGATGGGCAAGACAAGAACACTGGTCTGATCTGTGGTTTTGGTGATCGTGTAATGCGGTAAAACATGTCAGCCAACGCTTATCGACACAGTACATGATGAGGAGGATGCTATTTACTATTGCTTTAACTGAATATCAGAAAGAGAGTCTTGAACATTTACAGTGAACCTGTTCTGTTGTGTGGTAGTGAATACTGGAATGTAAGCTCCACAGCTTACAGGTTCATGATTGTTTGCATTTTTTCTTTAAAAGAATGTCATTTGCAGTCATCCTGAAAAAGGTGGTTGGCATGTTGTTATGGGGTTTACAGCAAGGCTGTGATATCTGAGCCTTTTGGACCAATTCATTTGCCGAATTCAGCAAACCCCCACCTTTTCCCAAATAGAGTCCTGGACCCCACACTGAGAGTTTGATACTTGCAGTGATAATATTGTCTTGATATATTTAATTCAGCGTCATTTAATAAATATTGATATTTAAAAAAAAAATTATTGTTATCTGAAGAAAGTATGTTTCCTCTATGTCCTGTGTTTAACTCTTTGAGTTACTGGTTTGAATTTACTACTGGTCAGTATAACAATGCAAACGGGCAGTTTTGAACGGTGTTTCTTGTTCTTTGTGTTCAATGTCACACGTTTTGACCATTAAGCTTTTTCAAAAGCATACAGTATGGAATGTTTTTGAGCTATACTGAGTAAGTAAGTGTCTGTGAAAACAATGTGGCCACTGAGTAAACTTATCCATGCTTGCCAGCAAGATTGATGACTTTAGAAGCCTCATATTTAAATAAATCACGCGTTGATCAGATTTATCCCAAGCTAGACAAAGAAAGTTATGAAGTAGACTTGTTTCAATTATTAATAGAGTCAAACTTTGATGAGGAATAGCTCTGATAAATACCTCCCGCAATTCATACAATGATAATGTGGTCATCTGGTCAATCCTCATTGCGCCCAGAGGCACATAAGGCAGAGACAAATTGTCGCCGCTCAATTCGATCCTTAGCCATCCTCCCTATCTTTAGTTTAGTCCTTTTCAGCCTCATAGGTTCACCTCAAAGTGTCTCTGGGCCTGCTTCTTCCTCGCTGTCCTTGTGGTGTCCATTTCATTGCCTGTCTAGGCCGTCTCTTTTTCTTTATTCTGAAGACATGTCAAATCCACCTCCATCCTTGTTTTTTTTTATTTCTAAATTTATGTCATCTAAGTCATTTGCGGATAAATCTAGAATTGCTGATTTTATTTTTCCATCTGAACCCCAACAATCTTCTGAGAAGTTTTCCCTCAAAACCTCTCAGCATGCTCTCTACCTTTCTGCCTGTTTTCCAAGTTTTTGCTCCATGGAGGAGAACTGTCCTAATGCATGTTTTATATATATCCTTAGTTTAATTTTAGTGCTGTAGATGTTAGATCTTCAGACACTCTGAAGTCTGTTGTAAAGGTACAGAGAGAATAAATATTTGTGAAAAGTGCAATATTCTTCAGTGTCAGTTAGGTCTTGTGCAGTTCTCCTATTAATTTAAAGCATAGGCTATAAAATTACGGGCAAATTAAGTGTTATATAAAGTTAGTTTTTTTAATGAAAATACTGGTTGTTTTCAAAAGTCATTATTTCTTTTTTGCTCTGTCATGATGTTCTAAAAGTTTCTCTGGTACGAGATTTAATGGACAGATTGTGTTTGTTTATATATTAAGTTGAAATATTAGGTTATATTAGGATTAAGTGGTTCATGTTTATTTGTGATTCATTTTGAATATATTTTATGGAGTTTTCCTTGAGTGCCATGGTAGTAAGTGGAAAGCAGAATCTGTTTATTTACTATTAATTAACTATTAACAAAGTTAATGTTTGTAGCAGTAGTCTTACATTATTCCTCAACGGTCCCTTGTCCCTTTAATGTATAATATGTATATGTTGTCCGCAGTTATTTTATTATAGTCTGTTTTAATGTGTCATTTTAAAATTGCATTACTACCTTGGGCCTCTGATGCCGAACCCCATGGGGATCAAAGAGTTAATATAATATCGTAAAAGTGACCTATTCATTGTGTTTTTAATTTTCACAGTTTTCTGCAGCTAAACCCATTTAATTTTATGTATTTTTTTTATGACTGAGTCTCGCGTACTTTCAAGTGCATTTTTATTATATAGTTTTTATTTTTGAGGGGAAAAAAAACATTGTTATTTAGATTATTGTGTCCCTTGTAGGTTCAATAAGTCAATCAGTAAGATGCCATATTCACAGTGAAGGTTAGTTGTGTTGGATATCAGACACTCTTTATCATCATCATCCAGCTGTTGTGCTTTTATATGTCACATAAGGCTCGCAGTCTAGTCATCCTTTCATGTCTATCATGTGTCATTTATTTGATAACATGAATTTCAATCTAGTCTAGCATTTGTTGCCTCTCTCCATGACTTTGTCAGAATGGCTACCTTTCCTGCTGATTTCTGTAGCAAATATAGTTTTTACAGGGTAGTGGGAGCTGGTCGCATTCAAACCCTCATCCTTTCTCATGTGGGCTTGAGACCTGCAGTGGAGGAGATCCATTATCTATCAGCCTGGTCGTGAGCTATATGAAACTACTCTCTGTCCATCTCTTGATCATCCACATAGTGAATTTTATTGCCTCAGCTGTCATCATCTACATATTTGAGTAGGATTGATCCTGCAAAGTCCTAATTAATGCACAAGACCATGAAAAGTAAGAAAGAGGTTATCACAGTGGAAAGGGTAAAAGAATTTAGCATTGTTAAGGTAGAATAGGGTTTTGGCAGTTGAAAGGGAGAAATGGGGTTTTGATAATGGGAATGAAGAGAGTTCAGACAATGGGAAGAGAGAGTGGCTGAGAGTGATCGTTCAGAACTTCGCAGCACTCAGGTCACTCCCAGAATTGCTTAGTATCCTCAAGAGTATAGATTGTACAGTGGCTTTCCCTGTGATTTTTTGGGAAATAATAGACCCACTACCCTCCATCAAGCATGTCATAAGAGGTGACTAATTAGAGTGTTTCCTTTGAAGTGAGAGTGCCTCTGCCTGAGAAGTAAGGAACCAACAGTCTACATACAAATAAGCCAGAAAATTAACAGACGGGCATATTGGCTGGCTCTGTACAACTTGGCAGATGTCGTTAGGGCCTTTTGGGAGAATGTCTACAGTTCGGATAAGCAAATGAATCATCACAGTCTGGCAAGAGTGATACTGCGGGGAGTGACGATGGGTCTGGCCGATACTCAGTGCTCAGAGGAAAGGCATGACAGATGTATAATCAGAGTGCTATAGGGCCACTGGTACTGAACTCTGGGCAGGCTGATGAAGATAGGGATGGAACGCTCATGGAAATGCACCCATTGCTGTGTTGTTGGTTCTTGAAGCAACTCAGATCAACTGAGCCAGGTCTGTTCTGCATGCTAAACTCAAGTTCTGGAACAGAACCAAAGTTCAGAAGTGGAAAGCTAGAATATACTGTTGGAGTTTACAGCTGGTAAATGCTAAGAAGGAGAAGTTGTGAAACTTCTGTGTGGTTGTGTCATTATCTGTGTTGTTTTATGCTGATGAATATGTTCTAGCTGCCGCGGACTGTTTTACTGATAAGCCCACTAGTTCTGCTTTTTGTTTAGTTGATTTTTGTTATGCTTTTATACAGTATTTCCGTCTCTGTTCTGTCTCTCTCCTCAAACCTATTTCCCATCTGCTAGCCGAGACAGAAGGTTACGTTGGTCAACAACAACAAAAAAAAGAATAAGGTTACTAGTTAAGACGGGGGATTGTCTGCCCCTGTGACTCTAGACTCTAGAGATATCATGGGTTGCAATCCAACTTGGCAAATCCCAGATGTCCCTTTTAACCATCTTCTTCTGTTTTCATCTCACTGATACCAGCTTATAGCCCTATGCTATCGTTTTCTTGATTTGTCCTGTGCTTCTCGAGTGGCTTAGGTGATGGATGTGTTCTTTTTGCAGGTTTCAGCTGCATCATTTATCATTCTCTTTGTCGTCCCCTCGCCTTCCTCCCCTTTGTGGAGAAAGGCAAGGGAAAGACCTTCTAAGAAGTTTAAATTATAGTACTCATAATACTGAAGAGGCATCACCCTGCTTTCAATACCAGGGAAACTATTTTGTAGTATGCTACTAGAAAGATTGAAAAAATCCATAGATGAAAGATTAAGGAAAGAACAAGCCGGTTTTAGATCCAAGCGGTCATGCATAGACCACATCTTTACTCTTAGAATAATTGTTGAAGATTCTACAGAATTCCAGTCGAAATTATTGATCAACTTTGTCGACTTTCAAAAAGCATTCGACAGTATCCATCGTCCAACACTCTGGAAATTGCTTAACATCTACGGTTTCCCCATCAAATATATCAACATCATAAAATCTTTTTATAATGAAACACGATGCTGTGTAAGAACTGATTCCGGCAATTCTGACTGGTTCCCGGTGGAAACAGGAGTGAAGCAAGGCTGTGTCCTATCGCCGATGCTTTTTGGTATAGCAATCGACTGGGTCATG